GCGGAATTGAAGAATACGTTCTGGCCAAAGGGAATATCCGAGAATTTCTCCGAGAATTTCGATATGGCCGATGCTCGAGCATACGTTTAAAATACGTTAATTTCTCGCGCGCCGAGTGATCCCGGTGTTACCACCGAGATCGATTATTCGATCGCTCATACGTGGAATTAGTACAATATTTGCTGTAATTTTATTCGGCGACCAGCAACGCCGCCATCATCGTCGCGTCCCTACGTGCAAGATTCATTTTCGATTCGCGACTCGATCATGCGTACTTACATATCGGTTCATTCTTGAATTTCTAAAGAGCATTAGGTCGTATTCTCGTTGCAGCAACCGTCACGTTCCTCGCGTGCGCGTTCAAATTCCGATCCGATTTGCGAATCGGCGAGTCCAAGTTGGTGCAGCGCGAATTGTCTACGTGGATGTCATTATTAAATCAAGATCTCATCGTCAAGTATACGCGACGGAGATTTTCCTCCCGTAATGAGACATTAAAATGTTACATTTTCATCTTTGTGTCGCGGAAAATGACGAAATTCAACTCGGCGGTTATTTCGTATTGTGAAAGAAATTCCTCGCATACCGCATAACAACACATTTCCGTGTTGCAGACGCGATACATAATTGTGATACATAATATTTGAATAGTGAAGACATTACGAGCGGTATTAAGGCCACCCGGTACGCGAATATATCATGCGTGTCTTGAAATGCATCCCGGGTCCGGAGGGGAGGGGAAAAAAAAAAGGGAGGATTTAGAGCGCTAACGAGATTCCGCGAGTCTCATTGACGTGCACAGCGGGACGCATTGTTTCCTCCTGGGCATCTCGCCGGCATATGTGTATCTACCGAGCTCTCGCCCGTATCTCTCTCACTACGTGGATGCATGTAGGCAACGCCTATTATTATCGCTTAACGGCGGAGTGGAGAGCTCTCTCGTGCTGCGCTTTCCCTCGGTCTCACAGGTGGAACGTAGCTGCCACACGTAACATTTATCCGCGAAAAGCGAGCGAACGTGCTCCCCCGTGGTAAAACGCTTTTCGATAATAATGTCATCGGATGAGTGCGTCGACGGCATAAGTGTGTGCGTGGACGGTGAGAAGCGGAATGATAATGCGCGCGCAATAACAACGCGCACAGTGTTATTAAATGCTCCGAACGTGCAAATAAAGTCCGGTTACTAACCTGTGCTAATCCGCGCAATAAACAAAATCTTTCTCTCGTCCTCTCTCCATCTCTCTCTCTCTCTCTCCTCCCTCTCTCTCTCTATGTATATCGTTTTCGTGTTCGCGTGACGGAATTTAATAGCTCGATATGGCGCGAGTCCATTAACTGTAGAGTTTCGCAAATTGAAGCGTACTTGAGTGTGCGCACGGCACGAGCCTTCACTAATCCATTAGCGACACATATCGAGAGTTGTTGTAGTTTCAGAAAAAAATTGGCAAAAATTTCTCTCTGTTCTATATTGGTCTATAGAATTAATAGAGATATGTTTCTCTCCCCCCCCTCTCTCTCCATTTCTCTCTCTCTTTCGCCCTCTCTTTTCCTCTTCTCTCTCCACTCGTGCCGTGCGCGAATTGATTCGCACGACTTGACTGTAATTCACAAATCATCGGGATGTAAAAAATTGGAGCGAGTTCCGTCGTTTGTTAATATCGCTTACCGTCGGAGTAGCAAACACATTGCGCTTTCCCCTGGGCAATATATCGCACACGCGGATGTGTGTTTGGCGCTGCACTGCAGCTTAAATCCAATTTCTTTCGCATCAAATTTTCATGCTATATTATATAGAAAGATTCTCTCTACACTCCACCGCGAAGAACCCATTTGCGAAAAATTGAATCTAAGACGTTTTGCCCGCATACCGAATATTCGTACCCATCTTCGGAATTCAAATAACTGTTGCAGCGTGCGACTGTTCGCAAACAGACAGAAAATGCGTCAGGAATATGATTACTCCTTCCCTATGATTACTTTTAAGAATCTTGTTCTACAGTCGAATGCAGTTTCTGTAATATAAATATTATTTATGCTTCATTAAATAAACACAAAAACTTTACAAATCACGCGAAATTGTCTGACATAAAATCCATTTTTGGAATCCTCAATCTGAAATAATCATTGCTGAAATGCGTTATTAAAAATTTATCGTGCGTTTGAACAAAAATCGATCGGTTAACATTACTATTTAAATTTAATTAACTATTTTTATTCTTTACGCGGAGAATAGTCGAGCGCGAGCATAATCCAATATTCAAAATGAGAAAGGTCTATATCTGCAAATGAATGAGAAACACGTAACAGAGTACCTATACATTCTGCGTATTGCCTCGCACGTAGGAAGTCCAATTTTGTCCTTCAATCTCGACGATCCTCATCGCTCGCTTCCGGCAGATATAGGACGCTGCCAAGAATTCGATGGAGCATCATTTCTTGGCGGAACACTTTTAGCGTAGAGAAAGCGAGTCTCGCAACGCAGTAGCTGCATGCGAGTCTCCTTGTGCAATTGCAATATCGATCCACATATTATTTTGCATGCAGTATGATAATTATACTGCCGAAATACAATCTATGTAATTTAGATTCTATTTCGTAAATTCAGCATTTATGCAAGTATTCTAAACAGACAATTTCTAACCGCAAATTTCGGATGCTTCGCAAGCTTCATACGTTAAAATAGCATGTGTACATACTCGGCGATGGTTATTTCAAATTAAGTGTATAATTATTCACATTAACGACAACGTATATTTGACGAAAAAACTGATGTTCGCAGAATTTTTACATTTAAATTTTTTCTGCGTTACCATTTCATTACATTTTACTTTTCATAATTTGCTCTGCATTTTGTGCAATGTTTCTTGAATATGTACACGTATAATTCGACTTTTCAGTTCAGACAATGTCAGTAATACAATGAAAATATGCATGTTTCTTGCTGGTAACAAATTCCAGTCTTTGCGCAGCCATGATCTCCTTTTTTTCAAGAATTTCTCGCTGCACGCAGGAATTCCGGACGACGTTACAGGGGAATCATCTTAAAAGAGAGGAAGAGAGAGAGAGAGAGTAAGGATTAACGAGTAAAGAGGAGAACGCATAAAGAGTAGACAAAAAAGATATGTCTAGAGAGGAAGAGAAAAACAATTATATGCGACTTCTTCTCAAATGCGGCGCTTTTAACTATTTTTTTTTTTACTGCATTTTTTTATAGCTGAGAAAAAATGAGCTGTTTCACCATCTTTTACAGCTACATCCATGTATATAAATCTCTAAAAGCCTTTTCAAATCTTTAAATATTTTAACTTGTATGAATCTTTCTGAAATGACGGAAAATATTACATTCGCTCGTCTGAAATGCATATTCATACTTTTTATGATTTAAAAATTTTTGAATGATAGTAAGATCAACGTTTTGCTGCGCTATTATGTTTGAAAACAAATGTATTGTTTGCAATTGAAATTGAAAATTTGACGGTTCTATTAAACAAGAATTGCAATAACATAGAAAGGATTAGCACACAGAACTAGCGAACATCTGAATTCAATGGAGCATAAGCCGCAGCTCCGGTCGATGAGAGAGATAAAATTAACGAAAGTTCCGCGGTCCCTTTCATCTCAATTCAAAGACTCTCGACACACGTTCCTTTCTTTAGAAAACTTTCTCTATCAGATCGACTTTCGTATCGAACCCCGTTGTAGGGTGAACCGTGAAAGGATGAGGATGCAAATGGGAAACGAAGGCAAAGATTACTATGCGCGTAGCAAGAGAAAAAAAAAGATAAAGACGGAATGTTATGCAAGCCAATGCGAAAACTCGTGAGCTATAGAAAGTTGGATTCACTTGTTGCATTTTGCAAATGAAAGACCATTATGCATTTGGATCGTATATGGCATGTATATAATTAGAAGCAACACAGATAATTTGTTGTTTCGCCTCGTATCTCTCTGAATATCCAATCGGAATGTTTCTTTGATTGAATGCGATTTAAGATTATAAAGACGGAAGGGATGATAAAAACGACGCATACTGTTATGCGCTGCCAAACAGCAACGCGTAAAGTGTAGAGGGCGGGCCGTGAGAACCGGATGTAACGGAGAAAAAAGCTACAGTCGCATCCAATTTCCTTTATAATGAACCGTTGCCGAGCGCGCACTTGGGCTCCAAATGACATCGCAAATTTACTCACATTCAAAATCAAGCCCTAAGCTTCCTTTCGTTCGCATTCACTCAATCTACCTCACCGCTCGACTCCTTCGATTTCGTCTCAAGGGAAGAAGTAACGTCGTGCAGAAATAGCAGAAGAGAGGAATCGCTTTATTATTCTGAAGCAAGTACTGTCAAATGAATAATTTAACAAATAAAATAACAATAAAAGTCTAAAATATCACAGAATAGAAAGTAATGAATAAAATACCGACGCCAAATAAATATATATAAAAAATTTACATTGAACAAATTCGATATTAAAAAAAATACTACAATTAACAATATTAGAAAATTAATAGTAAAGAAATGACATGAACCAGATAAAATTGATTGGAAAAGTAAAATGATGAGAAGGACAATGGAGGACTCAAGTGAACTCGTCTCTTGACAGAGAAGCGACGACCAGCATGAAGCTGATGCAGTTGCTGCCAGCAACGGCAGCAGCAGCAGCAACAGTAACGGCGAAGAGGAAGAGCGGCGCGTACGGATACGCGGCCGAGTGGAAGGGGCAGAAAGAGAGACGCCGGTCGCGTTCAATACGCATGCGAGGTAAAGCGTGTGCGCGGGCGTACAACACGAAGAGCTTTTCGATCGAGGGTGTCGGTGGTGGCAGCGACGGCGGTGGTAGCGACGGCGGTGGTGGCGGCGGCAGCGGCGGCGGCGGCGACGACGACGACGGCGACGACCCCACAACGTCGGCTGGTTCACGGCGACGCGTTGGTGGCGGCACCAGCGGAGGCCGCAGCAGGTGAGCGGCAGTGCGCGGCGGCCGCACACGGTTCGGCCCGATACAGTCGTGGAGGGAGTGCGAAATCACGCTGACGCGCATCACGTCGCTGTGCTCGAAGCGCTGAAACGTGCCGATCGAACGTGTCATCGAGGACGCGAGTGAACGGGCAAATTAAAAAAAAAAAAAGACGAGAAAAAAGTTGAGACCAACGAGGTAGTGAGAGAGAACTGTTAAAGATCTTTCGAGGAAAAAAAAAGATCTTCGAGAGAAACTTGGATAACATAAGAAAAAAAAACAAGAGCGATAAAAATAAGGTTGGGAAAAAGGAATTAGAAAACCATGTGAAAATCGAAGTGTTGGTCAAGAAAAAAAAAAAGGTGAAGAAGTGCAAGGAGAGGATAAGCGATACTTAAACGCGCGAAGGTGCCGGATACACCGAACACAGATCGTTAGTGCATTTCCGCGACGGACGAACTGTCGCGTGGTGCGTCGATCGCGCGATCGATCCGATTTTCCGATCGGAGGAATCTATCGTGCGCAATCCGCAGCCAAGAGCTACCGAGTTCGCAGTGGTCCAGCGCAGCCTCCTTCAGCGCGCCGTGCGTCGCGCGCGACGCATCACGAATTCGCCGGATCTCAGTGCTCGCGCGCGATCCGTCCGAGCAACCGGTTTCTCTCGTCTCCCGCCGGGAATCCGTTGGCAAAGGAATGAAGGATGTGCGGATGTCGCGCGCGCGATAATCGACAGACGCACCGTCCGTGCTCCGAACTCGATTAGAGCTCTCTCTCTCTCCGGGCGCGAGAAAAGGAGTTTGAGTCAGTGTGTGTTCAGACAGTGCGGGTGGATGTACGCCGACGACGTTCTCTGGTGATCGGTGTTGCTATGATCGTGCCGCGTCGGTGCTGTCACGTGGAACGATCATGATTTACCTTAGGCCGCACGACGGGAGGAGTCTGCGGTACAACGCGAACGCGAGACACTTGAATGTGCTCGTGGTGCCGCTTTTTCCGCTCTGGATTATCGGCGCGTTCTGCGTAAAGGACAGTAAGTGGTTAAAATTTCTCGTTGTATTATAGTATTCGCAGGAGCGGAATCTGCGGATCAGTCTGCTTATCGGAGCATCCGCCGATTCCTCATCAATTTTTCTTGAATCATCTGTTTATCAAACGTGAAAGGATGAAGCAAAAATTTTACGGAGCATTAAACAGATCTGCGTCTAATATACACTTGGATCAAGTGATGATTCATTAACAGAACAGTTCAAGATAGACGACTTTAAGCCAGACGTAGCGTTGAAACATCTTATCTTAAATCTTAGAACATTTCGATTTTATTTTTACTGTTTTGCTTTAAAAACTATTTTTATCAGTTGAGAAATAAAACCGAAAAGTTTCAAGATTTAAGATAAGATTCACAGCGGATTTCCCTACACCTACTCTCAGCTTGAAACCGTTTACATTTGACTGCTCCATTTGAATACAAGCCTATCTATACTATATTCGTTAAACCTGTCCTGGGCGATAAGAAAAGAGCGACGAGATAACTCTTAATACAAATTTAGCACAAATCATCGCAAAGCATTCTTTCAACATCAAAACAGCGTATTTTGTAGGATAAAGTCTGTATTAGAGCTGAATTATGATCTGATATTATAGAATACGAAACATCTCACTAAAATTTCATTGTAATCCTTCGAGATAAAATACTTTATTTGCCTGCGTTCAAGCGCGAGCTTTCGAAATTGAAACGTATAAAGCGTACAAAGAGACTGACAGTTTTACAGATTTAATTGAATAACTCTTTTTGCCTATTGCCGTTAACTACGACATGTAAACGACATTTTGCGTCGGCTCGCGCCAATCCATCCATCGAACCCGGACGCGCTTAGGAATATTTTAACACCAGCGGATCAAAGGCACTCTTCTCTTTGACGGTAGTTTCGGACGGTAGTTGGTTTCCGCGCCAACCGGGCCGTCGATGGATCCTCATCCCCTCCTTCCTTCCCGATGTTTGTATATCGGTGACACTGCGGCTCGTTTACCGTCACTTAGTTCGCCGCCCCCGTCGGTCATCCGCAAATACGGCAAACGCGCGACATAACATAACGTTGCCGAGCGTCGCCCTTGTACGTATCATCGCGTCCTCTAAAAGCGACACAGTTGTCGGTTCATCGTCACGCGAAATGAAATAGTCTAAGAAAGAAGGAGAGAGAGCCGGAAAAATTGAGAAAAAGAGAGAGGAAAGAAAAATTCTCTGAACGATATGGGAGTTGTGCAACGAAGGCCGCTCGGAAGTGCAGCTATCCCGGAATGCGACGAACCAAGTTTGACGAACGCGCGGGCGCGCGTAACTGTGTCGGATCAAACTTTGCTCTTTGACACAGGACTCCATTGTCCCGTGGATGGAAACTCGGGGGGAAGTAAATTCCCATCTTAATCCGGCGACGGAAGAGAAGAGATCTCGTCACTCGCGCAATGTGCTCGCTCCCACTGCTGTTCGGCTACTGTCGCAGTCTGCGTATCGTCGTTGCAATTGCAATGCTTGCTGCACGCGAGATTGATCGAATAATTGTTGTAACGTCGTGCCCCGGAAAGCTTCATTGCAAATGAAGCGCTATCGTAGTGACAACGCGAGAGAAATTTATAACTTCCGCGGAGGTGTTTCATTGGAATGAAAGATATTAGCGCGTCCCACGGAGTAAACGGCGGAGGTGTTAATGATACCAAAGTGTGACCGAGGGGTGGCTGAAAGACTCACTAGATCGTCGTGATAATCTTAACGGCCTCGCCATTCAAATTTCCTCTACTGTATAATTTTAATTAACGACTCGGGGAATGTCGAAAATTAATTAGAATTTACTCAATAAGATCTTAGAATATTTATCTGAATTTGCCCAATTTCGCCTTAAGTCGCAATTCTTGTTGAGAATTTTACGATCTCTTTATATATCAATAAACATCTGATTAATTAAACAAAATAATTAAATAGATATCAAAATTTTAAGAAAATTATGTTCACAAAATTAGGTAAATTAAAATAGTCGGTATTATTTTGAAGTATTAACATATAAGATATTGCGTGTATCTTCTTGTTAGAAAAATTTTGAGTCAAGAAAATGTATTGTTTTAACAGAAAAAGTTAACTGCAATAAATTGCAGCATATTTCCGGCTAAAATTGAACGCGGCATCCGCACACACACTTGTTACGTCGCGCCGAAGATAAGCTTTCTGCTTTACTGTGGAACGTTGTCTAACGGAAGAGAATCGAGAAAGACCGTAGTTGGCTTCTAGCGAGACGATAGAATACGCCACATACGAGGATGGCCGGGTGGAGACGATTGGCTCCTCTTAGTTGGTATTCAGTTGATTCCCCTGGTCGAATATATAGGCGCGCATCGTCGTTGCTTACAAAGGAACGCGCCGGCGAACGGCGCTATTCGGTGCACGAGATGTTCCGTTTTAGCAGGCAGTGTCGACCGAGTCGAAGATAAACGGCTGCGGCAAAGCGCGGGACTCCAAAGAGTCGAGGAAACCTCGTTTCCGTGTGTGTAATCGAGATTTAATGTCGAGTCGATTCTCTCTCTCTCCGTCCAAAAATAATACATTGAAATTTATTTGTATCATCAAGCACACTGCGCGGCGTTCACGATGTCGGTTAATTACGGCGCACCAATTATGCAATTTAGCAAGGAGTGAAGTAGTCATTGAAAAAAGAATATGTTCCGTTGTTTTAAGTACTCCCGCGGTTGCATTCACGGTGAGAGTTCTCAAGCTGAGACTCTAAGAATCTCGGTTTTAACCCCTCAGGGGTTCTTTGCGGTGAAATTTTGTCCGCTTAAAACTCGTCTCTGTCTGACTGGGTTTTTCATAATAACAGCTTAAAGTCATCGTTGATAATCTTGTTTCATACTGCCATTTCACTTTATCTTCTTGCGCTATTTGCCATTTGTCGCAGCTAAACGATATCATCCAAAATTTATATATCGCCGTCGAACAACAACAAATTATTTCTATTCAATAACCTGATGTGTATCTACTATCAATTAGTTCCGCCAAGCCTAATGATCGGCCTCACTGATTCGCAGCATGCGAATTTACATGCGTAAATGTTCGTCAAAGCGTTGCGCGTACGCGTACGCGTTAATATCTCCCACGTCACGACGAACGATAAATTCGGCCGAGCTTATTTACCCCAGCGGTGATTAATTCCAGGGCGGATCGAAATTTGCTGAAATGGCAACAGGCACCCCCTTCCCACCCCCTCCACACGGATCCCGCTTTGTCATAAGTCAAAAAGTTACGACAAGCCGCGCTACTACACGTTTATCATCGCTAACGGTTCTCGCAACTCATCATACAGACGGATCACGTCACGGCGTCATGCCGGGAGTTATAGTGTTTCCAGCGGCAGCAACAACAGCAGCAGTTCATCCTCTCGACAAACAGATCTCCGTCTAGCGACCGTTATGCGCCCGCCCGAATTTTAAACCGAGCTTTACTCGCCGCCGGACCGGTTACGACGTAAGAGGTCGATCCTCCGTTTAACGTCGCGCTGAAAGAACGCTTTCTAAAACACTTTCGGCAAAATCTCATACGTGCTCGAGAACAGAGCTAGCTCGATGATCGATCGGCACTCGAGCGCGTGCAGGAGCGTTCTATTCTTACGCTCTAATTCTACACTAAGATGCTTTTACACACCGTGCTATAGATTTCTTGTCTTTGTTTCATTACGTGCTTTCTTTCGAGTGAAAAAAAAACGCGCCGCTGCTCTATATTACAAATATTTTTCGTATATCTGATCGTTCTAATTTACTTCCGTGGTACACTCGATAAATCGTTGTCCGTAAAAAGTGCAAGGGTAAAAGTAATATGATGTAGATTGACGTTGCTTGAGCTGAACTGATATTAAACTCGAAACGCCGTTTTTGTTAAATTGTATGCTGAATTGCACGCTCTGTATGCAGCATTCATACGAAATTCTCGATTTTATTTTTAGATAACAGTTCTGTCCTATATATTGTTTTTTTCTCTCTCGAAACACATAGCAGAATGAGCGTCGTAGTTTTATTCAATACGATTATCGATATCGTTGTTTCGCCTATGTAATACGCGTTTTGTCATAAAACGGTTACAAAATGAACGATTAATTTGTTCGAATTGCAGCGATTTATCTGCCACTCGCGTTTAGAAATCTGACATCTGAAGAAACGCATATCATTCAACTGATATTTGTATAATCTAGCATTTCACGTGCGTGGAATAAAATATTCTGTATTCTTTCGCGTAAAAATAACCGCACGTATAAAGCTCTTGTTTATATAAAAAGACAGACGAGAATTTTCTCATTGAACTTTTCTAAGATTTTCTGAGATTCCTGCCTCGTCGCAGCTATATACCTTTTCACGAGCACAGAGGAGTACATTTAATAGAGCGCGAGATTAAGATCGCATCGAAAGCACCGGAAAACGGTCGTCGACGGACGATTGCGTTATCGACAACGCGGTCAGCTGTTAATCGAGCACCCGTCGCGAACCGTGTAGCGCGGTCCACAGGATGAAATATGGCACATTTCTTTTTCTGTGTCCACGGTCGATGATAAGTTTCGCGGACAGCGGACATTTTCAACCGGCAACACTTCACGACTCGGGGAACTTTCGTCTGTTGAAACAGTCTCGCTGGCTTCACCGCGGGAGATTTGCTGGGATCAACCCCAATCTCTCTTGAATTTTAACGACGGTAGCCGTGTGAGCGCCCGTTACGAGCGCACCGCTGCGTACATATCATATGTGCGATTTTAAGCGTCATGCGGCTTGACTGACTCTCATACGTCAGTCGTATACTTCACTCCGCTCCTTTATGACACGAAGTGCTTGGTGCGAGCGTAGGTGCCGTTGCGGATATGCTTGTCATTTATGAAAGTGACATAAAACGATACGCGTAGACGCCCGAGACGGAACAGTTTACCTCAAGTCCACACGTGCGCGCGTGCGCGCGCGCGCCACATGCGATTTTTACGTTTTTCGCTGAGATTATTAGCGCGGCTG